ACTTCAACATCGGTGGACAATATCCCCAGATCGCCTCAGGCCGAATCCGCGACCTGTAGCCTCCAAAATCCAACAAAAATGACAATTCCATAAAATCGCCCGAAATCTGTGATGGTACCCCTTTGGAAAATGCCTAAAACGGGCCCGGAACAAATTAGCCCGAATCGGTGCCTAGTAGACTTAATCATCGGCGAGGGATAGCCTCAGGCCGAATCCGTGATCCGAAGCCTTCAAAATCCAAGGAAAATGGCCTTCCGAAAAAGCGCGCGAAAAATTACCAAAATGCCCCCGGAACATTTTTCGCCCAAATCGGCGATTAATTGACTTCATCATCGGTGGACAATATCCCCAGATCGCCTCAGGCCGAATCCGCGACCTGTAGCCTCCAAAATCCAACAAAAATGACAATTCCATAAAATCGCCCGAAATCTGTGATGGTACCCCTTTGGAAAATGCCTAAAACGGGCCCGGAACAAATTAGCCCGAATCGGTGCCTAGTAGACTTAATCATCGGGGAGGGATAGCCTCAGGCCGAATCCGTGATCCGAAGCCTTCAAAATCCAAGGAAAATGGTCTTCCGAAAAAGCGCGCGAAAAATTACCAAAATGCCCCCCGGAACATTTTTCGCCCAAATCGGCGATTAATTGACTTCAACATCGGTGGACAATATCCCCAGATCGCCTCAGGCCGAATCCGCGACCTGTAGCCTCCAAAATCCAACAAAAATGACAATTCCATAAAATCGCCCGAAATCTGTGATGGTACCCCTTTGGAAAATGCCTAAAACGGGCCCGGAACAAATTAGCCCGAATCGGTGCCTAGTAGACTTAATCATCGGGGAGGGATAGCCTCAGGCCGAATCCGTGATCCGAAGCCTTCAAAATCCAAGGAAAATGGCCTTCCGAAAAAGCGCGCGAAAAATTACCAAAATGCCCCCCGGAACATTTTTCGCCCAAATCGGCGATTAATTGACTTCAACATCTGTGGACAATATCCCCAGATCGCCTCAGGCCGAATCCGCGACCTGTAGCCTCCAAAATCCAACAAAAATGACAATTCCATAAAATCGCCCGAAATCTGGAAAATGCCTAAAATGGGCCCGGAACAAATTAGCCCGAATCGGTGCCTAGTAGACTTAATCATCGGGGAGGGATAGCCTCAGGCCGAATCCGTGATCCGAAGCCTTCAAAATCCAAGGAAAATGGCCTTCCGAAAAAGCGCGCGAAAAATTACCAAAATGCCCCCCGGAACATTTTTCGCCCAAATCGGCGATTAATTGACTTCAACATCGGTGGACAATATCCCCAGATCGCCTCAGGCCGAATCCGCGACCTGTAGCCTCCAAAATCCAACAAAAATGACAATTCCATAAAATCGCCCGAAATCTGTGATGGTACCCCTTTGGAAAATGCCTAAAACGGGCCCGGAACAAATTAGCCCGAATCGGTGCCTAGTAGACTTAATCATCGGCGAGGGATAGCCTCAGGCCGAATCCGTGATCCGAAGCCTTCAAAATCCAAGGAAAATGGCTATCCGAAAAAGCGCGCGAAAAATTACCAAAATGCCCCCCGGAACATTTTTCGCCCAAATCGGCGATTAATTGACTTCAACATCGGTGGACAATATCCCCAGATCGCCTCAGGCCGAATCCGCGACCTGTAGCCTCCAAAATCCAACAAAAATGACAATTCCATAAAATCGCCCGAAATCTGTGATGGTACCCCTTTGGAAAATGCCTAAAACGGGCCCGGAACAAATTAGCCCGAATCGGTGCCTAGTAGACTTAATCATCGGCGAGGGATAGCCTCAGGCCGAATCCGTGATCCGAAGCCTTCAAAATCCAAGGAAAATGGCCTTCCGAAAAAGCGCGCGAAGAATTACCAAAATGCCCACCGGAACATTTTTCGCCCAAATCGGCGATTAATTGACTTCATCATAGGTGGACAATATCCCCAGATCGCCTCAGGCCGAATCCGCGACCTGTAGCCTCCAAAATCCAACAAAAATGACAATTCCATAAAATCGTCCGAAATCTGTGATGGTACCCCTTTGGAAAATGCCTAAAACGGGCCCGGAACAAATTAGCCCGAATCGGTGCCTAGTAGACTTAATCATCGGCGAGGGATAGCCTCAGGCCGAATCCGTGATCCGAAGCCTTCAAAATCCAAGGAAAATGGCCTTCCGAAAAAGCGCGCGAAAAATTACCAAAATGCCCCCGGAACATTTTTCGCCCAAATCGGCGATTAATTGACTTCATCATCGGTGGACAATATCCCCAGATCGCCTCAGGCCGAATCCGCGACCTGTAGCCTCCAAAATCCAACAAAAATGACAATTCCATAAAATCGCCCGAAATCTGTGATGGTACCCCTTTGGAAAATGCCTAAAACGGGCCCGGAACAAATTAGCCCGAATCGGTGCCTAGTAGACTTAATCATCGGGGAGGGATAGCCTCAGGCCGAATCCGTGATCCGAAGCATTCAAAATCCAAGGAAAATGGTCGTCCGAAAAAGCGCGCGAAAATTACCAAAATGCCCCCCGGAACATTTTTCGCCCAAATCGGCGATTAATTGACTTCAACATCGGTGGACAATATCCCCAGATCGCCTCAGGCCGAATCCGCGACCTGTAGCCTCCAAAATCCAACAAAAATGACAATTCCATAAAATCGCCCGAAATATGTGATGGTACCCCTTTGGAAAATGCCTAAAACGGGCCCGGAACAAATTAGCCCGAATCGGTGCCTAGTAGACTTAATCATCGGGGAGGGATAGCCTCAGGCCGAATCCGTGATCCGAAGCCTTCAAAATCCAAGGAAAATGGCCTTCCGAAAAAGCGCGCGAAAAATTACCAAAATGCCCCCCGGAACATTTTTCGCCCAAATCGGCGATTAATTGACTTCAACATCGGTGGACAATATCCCCAGATCGCCTCAGGCCGAATCCGCGACCTGTAGCCTCCAAAATCCAACAAAAATGACAATTCCATAAAATCGCCCGAAATCTGTGATGGTACCCCTTTGGAAAATGCCTAAAACGGGCCCGGAACAAATTAGCCCGAATCGGTGCCTAGTAGACTTAATCATCGGGGAGGGATAGCCTCAGGCCGAATCCGTGATCCGAAGCCTTCAAAATCCAAGGAAAATGGCCTTCCGAAAAAGCGCGCGAAAAATTACCAAAATGCCCCCCTGAACATTTTTCGCCCAAATCGGCGATTAATTGACTTCAACATCGGTGGACAATATCCCCAGATCGCCTCAGGCCGAATCCGCGACCTGTAGCCTCCAAAATCCAACAAAAATGACAATTCCATAAAATCGCCCGAAATCTGTGATGGTACCCCTTTGGAAAATGCCTAAAACGGGCCCGGAACAAATTAGCCCGAATCGGTGCCTAGTAGACTTAATCATCGGCGAGGGATAGCCTCAGGCCGAATCCGTGATCCGAAGCCTTCAAAATCCAAGGAAAATGGCCTTCCGAAAAAGCGCGCGAAAAATTACCAAAATGCCCCCGGAACATTTTTCGCCCAAATCGGCGATTAATTGACTTCATCATCGGTGGACAATATCCCCAGATCGCCTCAGGCCGAATCCGCGACCTGTAGCCTCCAAAATCCAACAAAAATGACAATTCCATAAAATCGCCCGAAATCTGTGATGGTACCCCTTTGGAAAATGCCTAAAACGGGCCCGGAACAAATTAGCCCGAATCGGTGCCTAGTAGACTTAATCATCGGGGAGGGATAGCCTCAGGCCGAATCCGTGATCCGAAGCCTTCAAAATCCAAGGAAAATGGTCTTCCGAAAAAGCGCGCGAAAAATTACCAAAATGCCCCCCGGAACATTTTTCGCCCAAATCGGCGATTAATTGACTTCAACATCGGTGGACAATATCCCCAGATCGCCTCAGGCCGAATCCGCGACCTGTAGCCTCCAAAATCCAACAAAAATGACAATTCCATAAAATCGCCCGAAATCTGTGATGGTACCCCTTTGGAAAATGCCTAAAACGGGCCCGGAACAAATTAGCCCGAATCGGTGCCTAGTAGACTTAATCATCGGGGAGGGATAGCCTCAGGCCGAATCCGTGATCCGAAGCCTTCAAAATCCAAGGAAAATGGCCTTCCGAAAAAGCGCGCGAAAAATTACCAAAATGCCCCCCGGAACATTTTTCGCCCAAATCGGCGATTAATTGACTTCAACATCTGTGGACAATATCCCCAGATCGCCTCAGGCCGAATCCGCGACCTGTAGCCTCCAAAATCCAACAAAAATGACAATTCCATAAAATCGCCCGAAATCTGTGATGGTACCCCTTTGGAAAATGCCAAAAACGGGCCCGGAACAAATTAGCCCGAATCGGTGCCTAGTAGACTTAATCATCGGCGAGGGATAGCCTCAGGCCGAATCCGTGATCCGAAGCCTTCAAAATCCAAGGAAAATGGCCTTCCGAAAAAACGCGCGGAAAATTACCAAAATGCCCCCGGAACATTTTTCGCCCTTGACTTCATCATAGGTGGACAATAGCCACTCAGTACCACTTAATTTGTCTAAAGGGCATGCGTCCAACCCAAAAAAATCTTACTTTTAATTACCTTTTGGTACCCAAAATTTTTTTTACTTTTAATTGGTGGTTTCACTTAGACTTCTTCTTCAAGTTCTCCATTAAGAAATGGTGTGACATCCCGCTGATATACTGATAACTCTAGTCTCTAATTAATATTTAAATATTTAGATCATAATCGTCCAATTTCGAGGAACACAGTTAATTAAAAAAAATCAACAAGATTAGAGGTGACAGCTCAAACAACTCTTTTTAACACTACTCGTTTTCACCAACGACAACAACAAAGACAAAATAACCAACAGCCAAACACAACCATCCATAATATGCACCAACACGTATACTCTGAACACGTTAACATCTAAACCATAGAAAGAAACCGCAACATACTACGAAAGCAAATTCATCATCGTCGATCCTAAAAATTGCTTCTTCTCCAATGAAATCCCTTCCCGGAGACGTCCTAATCGACATCCTCACCCGGCTGCCGGTAAAATCCATCCTCCGGTTCAAATCCGTCTCCAAACACTGGTCCGCCCTCCCGACGACGCCTCAATTCGTCGCCGCACACCTCCGCCGGTCTTCCGCCGACAACCCTCTCCTCATCGTCCACCACGGCTTCACTCTGGGCAACCTCAAACTCTCCGTGTACGACGCCGAACTGGCAACCACCCTCCATCCCGATTTGAAGTTTCCTGTGGAAAGTTTCAACGAGTTCTCACCGTCGGTCGTCGGGTCGTGCAACGGTTTGGTCTGTATCGAGTTCGACACCACCGGGTTCGTGCTGTGGAACCCGGCGATGAGGCAGCACGCGTGGCTGCCGGTGGTGGATCTTCGGTCTCCGTTCAGATCGAGGGAGACGAGATTTGTGGCTATTTGTGAGAGTTTTGGGTTTGGGTTCAGTGGCCGTGTCGAGGATTACAAGGTGGTGAAGTTTGTTAGTTTCTTCGACGACGAGTGGAAAAGAGAGGATCAGGTGCGATCTAGTAAAAATCTCAATTCACTATTCAATCCTAAACAGGGCTGTTAGTCGGTTTGGTTATACCCGTAACGTTTACTTGAGTATCGGTTAAAAAATTAAGAAAATTTTTAATTATCGTTAACCGTATACTTTATATTAGTCTGTCAACCTTAACTTTATAGTCAATTATCATATAACAAGTAAGCAAGTGATTCGATAAATTTAGACCAAAATAACCGATCAGTAACTTAAGTAACTAAACAACTAAAGAATTTATCCTTTCAATTGTACGTGCATTTTTGTAGTTCTTTTTTTCTCTGCATACGTAAGTGTTCTTTTTTAAAAAAAAAATTCGTTGAATAAAAAATAATTTAACATAGATACTAATTTATAATCAACTCAATCCAACACAAATAACACCATTTTGCTGTCAAGAATAAGGGACCAACAACAATTACTCCACTCATAAATCCCACCATGGAAGCCTAAATGTTGTTGATCGTTGTCGAACTATTATGCACAAGTTCCCATTTCTATTGTGGTTCTTCTAGAGTTCTTCTATGAAATTATTCTCATTTGAGGTTAAGCCACAGTTACAACTACGATAGGCAAGGGATCTTGTAGGCATTCAAACATTTCATTATTTTTGGCCTATGCATGCGGCTTATCAAGCCTATTATATTTTCGGCACTAACTGTGAAGATGGTCGTAATCGGTTAGTCGATTAATCATTTAACCGTTGGTTACTAACCGTTTAACCGTCGGTTATTGATTAGCTAAATTTGACTATCGGTAACATACTACTACTTAACTGTTTAATCGTTTATCGATATAGTTATTTAGTGCCCGTTACCGCTTCGATTATCGGTTACGCTGCTAATAGGATATCCATTTAACAGCCATATCATACTCTAGCATATTTTCCAATTTTACATAAAATTTCGATTTGGGTAACAAATGATTCAGGTGATCTGGGAGAACTTGGAAGTGAAGGCTGTGGTGTTCTCGTGGAAGTCTTGGTCATGGAACGAATTGCGAGATGCCCGGATCCCAGCCGCCTCTTACGGCCACCAAGTTGCTGCAAACGGCCATTTGTACTGGCTCGGCACCGGCAAAGGGAAAAAGGACTTCGTGATCGCATTCGATCTCGCTAGTGATTCGTTTTGGACAATAGACTTGCCCGATCATCTTCCCCACACACCGCCAACATCTGTCGCATCCGACATTGATACGAGAATGGCAGTGTTCAGAAGTTGCCTGACCAGGCATCAGACCTTGTACGATGGAGATGAACTGGATGTGGTGGTGATTGGTGAAAATGGGGAAGACATGAAGGGGACGACGTTGTGGGAGTTTATCTGCCGCCATGGTTGGTTTGATGGGAAGAATGAAGCTGAGCATTATTACAGAGGGCATTGGAATGGGGTTCAAGTTATGAGACGGCGAGGGAGGAACATGGATGATCTCTACTTGTTCAATCCGGAGAGCGGAGCGATTCGTCGGTTTGATGATCTTATGGTTCGTGTGTACGATGTTTGCAGTTTTGTGCACAGTCTTGTTCCGGTTCGTGGAACGAACATCATTGTCGAACCATGATATGACTCTCGATGGTCCTTTTGAAGTCTTATCGACTTGATCGTTTTTAGTTCAATCTTTTGCTTCGAGTTGATGTTATTTCTAACTTTCTTTTACAATATTTGATTTTTCGAGGAGCTAAGTTCTTGTAACATATTGTTGAGGGGTGTGCAGACTGAACCAAACCGAAGTTTGGACCGGATCACACCGCACCGGATTAAGTATAATGCGGTCCGATTTTTTGGTTCAAATGAATTTTACAATTACTGAAGAAATGATGGACCGAATTGATATTTGGACCGAACCAAATGGATCGAACGCAATGATGATCCAGTCCTTGGTCCTAATATCTCTTTCACTAATGGACCGCAGTTCTCATAAGTATGGTCCGGACCAGGCCGAACCGTTACACACCCCTAATATTGTTTATCATTTTTTAGTTCATTTCTTAAAACTTCAATTGAGCTACGAAAAATTCTAGATAGGTATTCTACAACTAAATTCAATTCTTTCTGGTTAAAAAATCTACTTATGGACAAAAAAAAAACTATAAAAAAATGGATATTGATGGACAATCGAAATAGTATGAGTATGGTTTGATTTACGATTCCAATCTTGTACGGATATGAGTATGAATAAAACTTGAACTGCTTAGCCATCCTCAAACCGACCCGTTGTCATCCCTAATTTAAACATCCTATGGTTTAAATAAATTGAATGTGCATAATACAATTTTTTACAAAACTATCCAATGATCATATGCTCAAAACGCATAGTCCAATGATTTAAACCCACCCATCCAAAAACCTTCACCGGAGTAGTTTGCGACAATGCCAACAACGACGTGACAAAAAAGCCGATCATTTCCCGGCCGGCCGCTAAAATGCAAAAACAACCACCAACCAACGCGTAAATTTGTATCCATCTCAACTATTTTTACAAAGAGATGTATCATGTACCAAATGAAACCAAATCGACGATGACCACAATGGCTTCCTCTGCCTCTCCCCTGAAATCCCTCCCCGAAGACCTCCTAATCCAAATTCTCACTCGATTACCGGTAAAATCCATCCTCCGATTCAAATCCGTCTCCAAACGATGGTCAACTCTCCTCACAACACCTCAATTCACCGCCGCCCACCTCCGCCGCTCTGCCTCCGACAACCCCCTGCTCATCATCCGCCACGGCCAAACCACCGGTGACCTCCTAATCTCCGTGCTCGACTCAAATCTCGCAACCCTCCACCGCGATTTGCCGGTGCCCGTCCCGAGATACGACGATTTCTCCGCCTCGATCGTCGGTTCCTGCAACGGCCTGCTCTGTCTCGAGTACAGAACCACCAGAGCAGCGCTCTGGAACCCTGCCACCAAGCAGTTCGCCTGGATCCCGGACCTGGACCTCCGATCCCCTTTCCGCCACGTGACGAGGTTCGTCGCCATCGCGGAGAGCTACGGGTTCGGGTTCAACGGCGAGATTGAGGATTACAGGTGGGTGAAATTCGCCGGATTTTACTACAGGGACTGGAGCAGAGAAGACGAAGCGATATGGGAAAGTTTGGAAGTGAAGGCGGCGGTGTTCTCGTGGAAGAGCTGGTCGTGGAAGGAACTGAGAGGTGCCCGGATTCCGGCTGCTTCTTACGGCCATGCGGTGGCTGCAAACGGGCATCTGTACTGGATCGGGGGAGGGGACGGGATGAGGGATTTCGTGCTGGCGTTCGATCTCGTGGCGGATTCGTTTCGGATTGTCGATTTGCCCGAGGCTCGGCCTGATGATGGTGGATTGCTGAGGCTCGACATCGAGGCGAGGATCGCGGCGTTCAGGAGCTGCCTGGAATTGAGGTTGTACGATGATGATGAGTTGGAGGTGTTGGTGATTGGGGAGAATGGGGTGGACATGAGAGGGGAGACGTGGGAGTTTATGTGTGGATACGGCTGGTTTGATGGTTCTACTGATCGAGAAACGGTTGAAAGTTGTTGTGAGGGGTTGTGGAAGGGGCTTCAGATGTTTAGACTGATGCGAGGAGGGAGCAGGGATCATCTGTACTTGTTTGATCCGGGAAGCAGAGTGATTCGTCGGTTTGACGATCTCGTTGGTATTGTGTTTGGAGTTGGCAGTTTTGTACATAGTCTTGTTCCGGTTCGAGGTGTGAAAAATGGTGTTGAGTTGTGATGGTCATAGGCTTATAGCTAATTTTTTAGTGGGGTTTCAATTTTCATCATTCAGGTTGTTAATCTTGATAATAAGGATTCGGTTTGGTTTGATTGATTATTTCATGTTTAAGATCATATTTCGTTGGTGTAGGAAAATTTAAAAATATAAAAAAGTTTGTCCTAAGATCATATTTTTCATTTCCTCCAACTTTGTGACATCTTTTAAAGATATTATAAATAAAATAGAATTTTGTATGAACACAAAAGTTAGGATTTATCGCTAGGTTCCTCAATACAACACCACATTTAGCCAACATGGCTAGGTTCACACAATGCCTTAATAGCTATGTTTCTTGTCTTCGTCAACTTTAGAGCTTGATTTCAGCCCGATTTGGTATATGCGCTCAAACACACCTTGACGTAGTTAGTCTCTTGACCCCGATCTATATAAGCCAAACACACAATATTTTTGAAAAGTACAACGGCCTTTTGAAAAATAAACATTTATAAATGAAAAAAACAAAGATTTACATATACATATTTCAACTCGAAAGCTCGAGAAGACCGATATCTTAATCAATAATGAAATAAGTTCGAGGAATATCATGATAAACTTTCTAGGCTCCTTTGAATGATTGTGATTTCACATCTTAATTAGAACAGCTAGGCTGGTTACTATATTTTGGTAGAATAGTTTTCTTGTGTATATGTTGGTAAAAATAGGGAAAGAGTTCGAGCGAGAGTTGAAGCCTGAAGAATGGAACAACTATAAAGGAGTCGATCGAGAAGAATAGAGGTATGGTTTGAATAAGGTTCTAGCGCTCTTATCAACAGAGTTGTATTCTGCTTCGATAAGATTACTCGAGTGGTTGTTCCTTGTTCAATCACCTTAATATATCGAGCTTATCATCTTGAGTGGACGATTTCAAAACGAAGCTCCGACCTAAGTAATCTAATCCTCATTGTTGAATAAGCGTAACACTATTCATGAACTAACATAACAAAAGATAGAACATTTTAAAAAAAAATCAAGATTAGAATTTGTCGAGTTTCCCCCTCTCTCCATTCCCAATCATCTCATTTGCAATTCACGTATATTTCCAAAGTGCAATTCATCAAACTGAGTCGATGATTGAATGTGTCGCGATCGTTCTACGAGCTCTGTCATTTGATCATGTCGTTAGTGGTTGATGACTCTTGTGATGAAACCAATAACGTAGTTTCAAGAAAGTCCTTTTTTCCCCTTTCCTATAAGCTCCCAAGAAAAGTTTGGTTTTGTGCTTTAGGGCTTGTTTGCTTGATGGATTTGGTGATGGATTTGGTGAAGGATTTGGATCCATCATGGACTTTGTCCAAAATCCATTGTTTGCTTCATGCATTTAGGGGAAACAAATCCGTGGGTCCCACGAACTTTAAGGGACCAAATCCGTGGACCCCACGGACTTGAAAGTTCCACCTATTTAGGTGGGAATTGATTATGGACTTTGAAGTCCATCATTTTTTACCAACATACCCTTCATATTTGCTTTCTCTTCTAATATCATTAAGGGCAATAAAGGTAAATTACACTTCATACATACAAATTTAATAAACAAAATCCATCATGAAATCCATCAAACAAACAATGGTGTTTATCAAATCCATAATGAACCTAAAACCCTCATTTATCCATGGTTTTTCAAAACCCAAGTTATATCAAAACCTTCATTTTTCAAATCCATGACGCAAACGAGCCCTTAGTGCAATCCCCCAAGGTGTCGCTCACTCCTCCGTCGTGGAGCATGGCGACAAAGACGGCTGTCCCCACTCCCCAAGCAAAAATTACGCCATAGGTTTCAACTAAAATATATATACGCCGAATCGAAAACCGACAAAGAACAGATGCAAATGTCCAGCACGAAATTAACTGGTCCGAGATTGGTCTACCGCATTGGAACACGTTAATGCCCCAAAAAATTGGCGATTCCAAAGGCCCAACAAGACGACAAAAGCCTCCGGCCCAACGACGCCTACACTGGCACCGGCCCGCCAACACCCACTCCCCGGCCACGGCCGGTCAGATTCCACATCTCCCGCGCCAAAACAAATGCTGGAAAACAAACACACCAACGTGTATTAATTCATTCCTCCCTAACCCTCCTTAACCATTCATCGCCACCAACGATCCAACTTACCATTGACGACGACGACGACGATGATGATGGCCAACAAGAAGCAGAAGACGGCGGCGGCGGAATTGCCGCTTCCGGAGGACATCATGGTCGACATCGTGGCGCGGATGCCGGTGAAGTCGATCCTACGGTTCAAGTCCGCGTCCAAGGAGTTGGGGGCGATGGTCACGGCGCCGCATTTCATCACCACACACCTCCGTTACGCTACGTTTAACAATAAATCCGCCGTCACGGCTCCCAGCTACAAGAGAGTAACCGGCGGGACGTTGCCTGCAGCCTCCGTCACCACCACCCACCGTACTGCTCGGAATTCTGTTTCGACGGAGTATGATGGCGGCGTCGTCTATCGATCGTTCCAGGGATGATGATACTGATGAATGATGATGTGATTGCACAATTTTTTGGATGCCATTTTTTTTATTATCATCGAAATTAGTCCTATACATTGATCAAATTGATTGATTTTTAATCGGTAATAACAGTAACGGCACTATGCTGCCGTTATTGTCTTCCCTTTTTTCAGCCTCTGCTATCATATTCATTCTTGGTTGGAAATCTTTTTTTTGCTTCATGAAAAAATTGATGGCGACTTCCAAGCATTAACTTGTTATTTGGGAATGATAGGCTAACAAAATCGATTCGTCTGCCTGGATTTATAATTTGATTTTATCGAAGGCGAGAATATCATCGACGAATAATTCTCAATGGAAAATGCACATGATCTTCGTATGTTCCTTATGATCATCATCACAAGCATAATATTTTGCAATCCCGCATTGGTATTAGTGGAGTAAATATGTTTGGTCGTGGACAAGAAACTCTCATTTGGACCAGAGTTATTAAAATCTGATTTTGCTTCTTATACTTAAAAAATATGGAAAGAGTTATTAAAATTGACAAATTAGATTGATAAATCTTGAATAATCAAGCAACTCGATAGAAATATTATAATGAGAAATGATGAATCTAGACCTATAAGGTGTAAATTAGACACCAATACCATACTTTTGCTGAATAAGGTGTAAATTCGATTTGGTTATGGGTATGCAATGATTTTATCCGGATGGAATCGTTGCACACCCCTAAATTGGATGATGATGATGAAATGATTGTATTGCTATTGTATGATTAGCTTTGTCCTCTATTGTGGATTTGATGCGGATTCTATCCTTCTCTGTCTGAGGCCCATCATACAAATACACAAGCGAGGCCCAAAAAGGATGCAGAGCCCAAAGTGAAGCATTCTTCTCTGCGGGCCTGCAACGAATATGCACAAGGCCCGTCGAAGGTTTAGAATTTTTATTTAAGAAATAATAAAAATCTTAACAGCCTCGCGTACTTTTCGTCTTGCGAACTTTCTTGATCTCTGTCTCCTCGTCTCCTCTTCGTTCGGACGCGCGAAATTCCGCTAAAAAATTCATTTTCCCGGTCGTATCACCTCCGCCGGCGGCCAATACAATGAGACCAACGACGAATTCATCCGCCGCATCTTCCTCCGGCACCACGACCACCACAACCATAGTCCTGGGAGACCGAGCCCAGCAGCAACAGCAACCGCCATCGCAAACCCTAGTTTTGCGCCTGAATCGGCCGAAGAAGAAAGTTTCATGGAAGGAAGGCACCGTGGACAACGAATTCATGCAGAAGAAGAGCTCCAAGAAGTGCTGCATCTTCCACAAGGAGAAGCCCTTCGACGAGGACGACAGCGATGACGACGACGAACATCACCATGGGAATCATGACGACCATCACGATCATCCCTCCTCCGATGGCTGCTGTTCTTCCAGCAACGGCCAGTGTGAATGAAGAATTTGGGCTACCGCATTGCTGGGGTGGGTGTAGGAAAAAAGATAAATTCGATTACTTTCGGCTTTATTTTGGTTCATAATTGATTTACTACTGGATCGGGGGATCAAGGATTAACGTGTTCCTTGTCCTTATATGATATGGCGTGTTTTGAATCTCATGTTTATAGTCTGATGAATCTCCAATGAATTTGATATCGAAAAGTTCATAGCTTTTTGCACATGATACTGATATAGTGATATTTGTATTGAGGCGATTGATTTCATCTCATTTTGTAGCCATAATGAATTCATTGTAATGGAGAACTGCAGAGGGTTTTGAGATCGAGTTTTAGGCATTCGTATACGTGCATTCCAAATTCGTTGTTAGATTAACATTGCTGTTCTTTTGCCATGATTCCTGGGTTTGTTATCACATCTGGTTGTGACTTGTGAGCTTCCCATGAGTCCGTCTGCCCATTAGTAGTTTCTCTACTAGGCACAGAATCTAGATGCTCAGGAACTTAGGTATGCTTGCAAATTGGAACGTTAATTCTGGCTCGGCCATGGTTCTTTCTGATTGCAAAAGGTCCTGGCAGTATCCTTTTAATAGCTGGTTGGGGTTTTGTTTACGCACCAGAAACTTTAGTTTGATCTGTCGAATCTGGCACTTGCAGTTGCATCTGGTTTTTGTTTCAGAACTCAGTTGGTTTCAGTATTTGGTAGCCAGATTGAATGATGAATGTTTGGATGTTCTTGCATTATGGACCTTTGGATGTTCTTACAGGTGCTAGATTGTAATTGCTGATATCGCAGTAGAATAGTATTAGGCTGCTTATTTGAAGAAATTGGTTGTTGGAATGGATGCTTAGTCTTTTCTAGATACGTTGTCCTTGTTCTTATCTGCCCTTAAGTCCACAACAGAAGCTCAATGCGTCCCGTCTGTGCTTGTGCCCTGATCTCTAATTCGTTCAGGCTGTCCTCTCTTACAGTACAATATCTTGTATCTACCAACTCAAAGTAGATTGTCCTTGCAGGATATCTAAGACAACTGGGGGTTCTTG